CCCCAGCCCCTCCAGCCTTGCCCCTGTGATGACACCGCAGCAGAGGACAGCACTTACTCTGGAAGTCTTCCTGCTGGATCTTCCGGTACTTTGGAGGTCGCCCTCTAAAGAGACAGGAAGACTGATTTCCAACTGGGTTGAGACTGGCCCGAGGGCTCTCCTCCACACTGCACAGAGCAACGCCTTGGCAGTGGGAGCGAGGATTACCTCTTGGACCCTGACCCAAAGGGCTGACAGCTAAAGACACAAAACATGGGAAGAAAAACCAAGAGAGGTGCCCAACAGAGCTGGAAGGACAAACGCCAGCTGCCAGCAACTGTGCTCCCCCACGGTCGAGGAGCCTCTCCAGCTTGGCCATCCCTCCCAGGGATGGCAGTCGTGGCACAGGGGCCCTGCGCTGCCGCACGGGGCTCACCAGGATTGCCCCTACCTCCCGTGGTGCCGAGATTTCTTTCGCTGGGGGAATCCAATCAGGTTCCTCTTGCGAGTCGAGGCCTCGGTGTCAGACAAGTCTGCCTTAAGCCTGCCCTGGTTCTTCTCCGCCAGCGGGCACCCTGAGAGGCAGTAATGGGCTGTGAATCTCCCAGTCACGTGTCCTGACCCGTCGCAACCCGGCGTGGGGCACTTCCTAGAGAACAGAGGGGAGGCAAGTGTTGGACCCGGCTCAGAGCAGCACGGGCGGGCGAGCCAGCAGGGCCACCCCTCTGCCCCCCAGCACGGGAAGCTGTAGCCCTGGCCACGGAAAGCAGAGTGAAGATGTGTTGAGCAAATTTGCGAGGTGAAGGCGCTGGGTGCACGGACAGGGCACCAACACCCGTCCCACCTTTTCCACTGCTGTCATAGCGACCCTGTGCAAGTCACCACTGTGCAGGACATTTGGGTTCACAGGGTCTCCATCTTCCCTTCCTCGCCCCACAGGCATCCAGACTAGCCTCAGAGTGAGGAGGAAGCAAGCGTCACGAGTGTGGCCAGTAGAGAAACCCCTGGGAGCCAGATCTGCCTTCCCCATCCCCACGGATGCTCCACCATACTTGCTCCTCTTGATGCCAGCCTGCCGTGCTGGGGTTGGCACAACACTGTGCCTGGTTTCCCCTGGAAAACGTCAGGCAAGCGGCTGACCGAGCTGGGGGAGATGCACTGTTCCTTCTCTGGACTTCCCAGCTCACGACCTCAGTGAGAGGCATCTGTGAGGGGCGGAAGGAACATCATCCTTGAAGCTGGTACCAGTGAAGAGCATCTTAGAGGCACTGTCCCCTACACAGCCCATACGACCCCATAGGTAGATGGGCACGTAGGGCACCCTCAGGGGTTCTGGGTGCCGCAGGACAGGCACAGAGTAGGAGCTCACAGCAGTTACACCGGCCACGGGCTCCGGGCTGCCTCGGGGCCTGGCCTGGGGAGAGCAAGGGCTGCCCCTGTGCAGGGGTGGGTACTGGGAAGGGCTGGCTGCTGGTGGGGGTGGAGGGTGCGAAGGAGCAGAGGAAGGGCTGGCACGGGCTGGCAGGGAAGCTGTGCCCCTCTGAGCCGCAGCAGGAGCTCACCTGTGGTGAAAGCTGTACTTGGAGCTCTTGGTGTGAGGAATGTTCTTGCAGCCCAGGGTTGGGCAACCCCCGTGGGCAGAGGAGGCTGGTTCCTTTGGCCCTAGACCAGGAGGAGAAACAGGAGAGGGACTGTCACTGCTCTAGCTCCAGGCAGAGCCAGGGCTCTGGGCTCCCTGCTTGCACCAAACAGGGAGGACTTTTCCACTGACAACTCCACAGAAAAGCCCTTCCTCCCTGCCCATCCTCAGCCAGCACCTTCCCTCCCGTTTCTGTGCAGGGGCAAGTGGCGGTGGCAGTGCAGATCTGGCACACTTGGGCCCTGGCATGAGGGCCTGACCCAGGCACAGGACTTACTGAGAGGAGGCTGCAGTGGGTGTCCAGTTTTTGAGCACCAGCCTATGGGGTGGATGTCCGGATGATCCGCGTCAATCCAGAAATCATAGACGTGGCTCCAGCCATCAAAATGGATCTGGGGAGACAAGAAGAGAGGTCACCCTTCAAACCTCATGGCACGTCCCTGAGCAGCTCTGGAGCCCTCCAAGCTGACAACACGCAGCAGGGTAGAGCTGAACTGCAGCACAAGGCTCTCCTCTAATCCTGGAGCCAGGCGCTGGGACCTGCCATCCTCCGCATGCTGTGCTTCCACAGACCTCCACGCACTTTGCCACTGCGATTGGCAGTGAGTTGGGAAGGGCAGGACCAAGCCAGCACAGTGCCTGGACACAGGCTCAGCACTGAGACTTCAGCACCCACCTTTATCCTGTGATCTTCCACATCCTCCACACTGGCCACTCGGATGAAGGAAGGAGTCCTCCTGTCCACTGCCTCCAGCTTCATGTTGACCAGGAAGCCGTGGGGTGGGCGCTGGGGTCAGGAAGAACTCAGGTCAGCGGGGAGCAGGGCCATACTTCGGGCTCCCATGCCCCTCGGCAGCTTTCCCAGCAGTGTGCACTCCTCAAGCCCAGCTCCCAGCCCTGGCCTGTCCAGGTGAGAGCCATCCCAGTTCACCACGGAAACAAGAGAGTGGGGACAGGCCTCCTGGATCTGAGCTGTGCTTTAACAAGATGGGAAAGCTGTGCCCAAGGGAAGGAGGTCTCCAAGTGACACATTTTGGGGATCTATATTGCAGCCACACTCGGCTGGAAACAGCTGCTGTTGCTGCAGTTGGAGACAACAACTATCAAGCAAGCCTAAACAATTTCCCATCACCCGGCTCCTGTCTAGCTGAGGGGATGGTTAAACTTCCCATCTTTCCCAGTTTTGAACTATTTGCCCAGGACAGCCCTGGCTTCTGAACCTTGAGTGTAGATCTGAACCCCAGGCCTGTGCCAGAAGCATGCTGAACATCACTCGACTTTTCATAAAAGCAAAGACCTGACAATGGAGAAAACCCAAACTCCTGCCCAGGCGCAGATGATGTGGCACTCACCACTTTAAAGGCCCAAGCTGGGACAGCAGATGCTCCAGTTTCCTTTAAGTACTTTTCCCAGGTGAAGTTGTCGGGGTCAGGATAATCTAGAAGGGGGAAGATGCAGAAGGTGAGACAAGCCTGCAGGAAGACGGCAAGTACCCCAGAATGTCCTGCTGCCTGGGAGGACCAACCAAGTCTGTGCCAGGCACACGGGAACCTGAGAGACATCAAGAAGCACTACTATTTTCTCATGGACCATGAAATCCAGGGTACAAGGAAGTAGAAACATCTGGGCCTGCACAGACAGCTTGGGTTCTCCTCGTGTCTCCACTTGGCCCAACACAACCACCACTCTGCACCTGAACACGTGTACAGGAGCGTTGGCAGGAGCTGTGGCTGTGCTGAAGGACACTGTCTGGGCCTGCAGACAAGCAAGGGTCAGGGGGTTTGTGCCCTCAGGCTCCCCGTGCCATCCTGGGGATGTCCCCAAAGGGATGCGCCAGTGAAGGCTGCGCTCGTGGGCCAGACTCACCTTGAGGAGGTGTGAGGGGTTTGCCATGCTCCTGACACCATCCGACTGGGTGGATGTATGGACTGCTGGGGTCACACCTAGAAAGAACACACCCAGACTCTTACACAGGGCTCACCACCGGCTGCGGGGGCCCAGGGCAGGTCACTTGGTGGCATCACCCAGGCTGCACCACCAGCAAAAGCCTCTGCAGAAGTCAAGGTCTTCTATAGCACCTTTGTTCGTGAATGACCCAGGGAACCATGGGCCCTGGCAAGGCACAGGCGAGAGCAGAGGGACTCCAGCTCAGAGGGCTGGACAAGAAACATGCTGCAGGTGCAAACCCTGCCACAGGGCTGCCCAGGGAATAGCAACCCTTCGGTGTGAGCAGGGAAGCAGGCCATGCTTTTCAGAGCTCGGAGTGGTGAGACCGGAGCAATCAGGGGGGTTCTGGTCATGGCTCCCAGCAGGTCACAGCACGCTCAGGTGCTGCTGCTTCACAGAGCAGGCAGCTGCCCAGCCCCAGCGAGCAAGGAGCAGCCAGGGACAGAAATTGCCGCAGCCCCACAGCTCCTCGGGACAATAAGTGAGAGAAGGTCAGAGGGCTCCAGCCACAAGGGAAGCAGAGCTGCTCTCAGGACCCTGATTGTGACAACTGGCCATTTTAATTGGCCTTAACCAGCCCCAACTGGGACACCTCCCCAGCCACAGTCCTCTGTCTACAGACACAGGAGCTCCTTTTAAGACCAAGTCTCAGCATTGCAGGCGGGGTTCAGGGCAAGCTCACAGCACGCAATCATGCCCGTCTTTGCCCCACGTTAACTACAGGGCCACAGCAATGTGCCAGGAGGGGACATGGAACAGGTAAAGGTTTGTTCTCCAGCAGAGGGGGGTGACCCTCTGCCTCACTGGACCACTGGTGGCCTGCCTGCAGCAGCGTGCCGGGATTGTCCCACGCTTTCCCGAGCACCCCGTCACTCTTGCTGAAGCACTGGCAGCCCAGGAACCCCTGTGCACTTACCAGTAGTCATAAGTATCGTCCCAGTTGTCAAAGTGCACCAAAAAGCGATTGTCCACGACGTCAGTCACTGTGGCAACACAGATCAGGGAAGGGTTCATGCGGTCCACAGCTTCAAGCTTCATGCCCACCTCAAAGCCTGGGGAAGCCTCGTGCTGGGAGGAAAGAGAGGCAGTTTTCTTTCAGAGCCACAGTCCCAGCACCCTCCTCGCCACCTCCCTTGCCTGCTGCAAGGAGGGACCTGTCCAAACCCTCCCAAAACCAGGCTCTGCCAGGTCTCCAGGCAGGCCCAGGACCACTTAGGATCCCAGAAGGGCAGTGCCCTGCTGTGCATGCAAGGAAAGAGGCAGAGGGTAAGTAACTCAGCTTGGCCACATGAAGAGCAAAAGAAATCTTCAGACCCTCAAGATCTACAAGCAGTAACCTCCAAGAGTAAAACAGCCTCCTGCTTACACTGATTCAGATTTTGTCACAAAACACTTGTTTGTGGTCACACTCCTCCAGCGTCAGCAGCGACCAACGCCCTGGGCTTGGCAGGAGGAGCTGGGCTGGGGCCCTTCACCCTCCCTTGCCTTTCTTGGATCCAAAATCTGTGCAAAACGCTGTGTCATACACACTAGTGGGATTGTCACAGCAATGGACAGGAGGGTTGAGACACAATAAATAACGTGGAGAGGCTGATTTATCAGCAGGTTGAGTCTCCTCTGCAGCTGACAAAGAAACCATCAGCATTTTGCACTCTGCTATATTCCCAAGCTGCCATACGAAAAATAAAGGCAGAGACAGAAACAATAAAGACACAAAACAGAGACAAAAGAATTATACTTATGAAACATTAACCGAGGGTTTTCAGCAAAATAATTGTTGAAATTAGCAGTTACTTCTCCTCACCAGTACTTTTGCAACAGATTTAACTGTCCATGAGACTGACTGGGATGAACCAGTGAATCAGACCAACGCCAATTCTGGGCACACCAAACTAGTGTCCAAGCTACAGATCCTCAGCATGTCACATCTCCTTAAGCAATGCCAGCAGTACACTCTCCCGACCCTCTGCACTGTGGCCTTGAGAAGTGTGGGGTGGACAGAGAAAAGCCCAGCACTGGCAGAGGCATCCTGCTCAGCTGGAGGGGGAGAATCCCACCTGAACCTGCACGCTCTGGCAGGAAGGAAAAGCTGCTACTCACAGTGTTCCGGACCATGAAGAGGTGCTTAGGAGCTGCCTGAGCCTTTGTTATCTTCAGGTAGTTTGTCCAGCTGAATTCTTCTTCCTTATAACCTACAACCCCTCAGGAAGAGAAACGAGAGCAGCAGGTTCACAGAGAGCAGGCAGAAGGTTGTGAGGCTGAGCTCGGCCATCCCTGACCTGCCCTCACCCTGCCCAGCATGTCCTGCTGTGGGCAGACGGAGCCTACAGCGTCCTGGGAAACCCAAAGCCCGTAGCTTAGGCCCAATGGCTGATGCTGAAGGGGTGCTAGGAAACGTCAGCAGAGGAGTGGAAATCCAGGGCTCAGCTCCTCCCCAGAGAACATCAGTCCCACTTGCCCCAGGGCACAGCTGCTGGCTCCACCCTGGCACCAGGACATCCAGGTGACAGAGCTTTGCCCCAAAACAGGAGCAAGCAGAAATCTTTAGTGTGATGGGTGCTTGAAAGGAATCCCCCCAGCACAGCAGCATCCCCTCCTGGGCCCCATGGAGTCACCCTGTCCCCTTCTCCAGCTCTACATCTGGGGACCCACTACTTGTCTCCCTCCTTCAACAGGACCCACCAACTGACACTCACTAGCTCCTTACCTTTCGGGGGCTGGAGTTTGTGCCCCGTCTCCTCAAACCAGCCCGCAGGGTGGATGTCAGGGGAGTCAGCATTCAGCCAGAAATCGTGGCACTCAGAGTAGCCATCAAAGTGGAGGCGCATCCGGTAACCGCACACCTACCAGCAGGAAGGGCAGGAAAGGGAAAGGACCATGGAAACCTTCTGCTGTCCCTGGCTGAGCATCGCACGCACCTCCCCTCCCACACACAATCTCAGCATATCACTTAGGGAAGCCAAGAGTCGATCATAGGACATTGCCCAAATCAGGAGGTACCTGCTGGTCCCACAAGGTGTCCAGAGTGGAACAAGGCAAGTGTAAGGCCACCACAAACCAGCCCTGAGAAGGGAGGTTCGGGCTGGCGAGTGAGATGCCATGCTGGGGCACCTTGCTGAGTCCAGCAAGTGCAAGGCTTCCCTTTTCTGCACTCGGTGAGATGCTGGTGCAGGGATTTTGGCTAAACGCCATGCTGCTTTGGTGAAATGTCTCCAGCAGCAAGGACAGCAGCCACTGTTGTATGGCTGATCTCCCTGGCTGCGTGGGGAGCACTGCGAGCCAAGGCTGGCTGAGTTGCCACAAGGCTGAACGGAAAGCCCCACAGACAGAGGGCCTCCATGGACCCAAAGAAGAGCAATGGGATGTCTCCACACTCTCCATCTCAAGGGCTCAGACCTGTCTGAGGGGCATCAGCTCGAGGATAGAAGCTGTTGCCATCACCACAGTCTCTCCCACCATGGGCCTGCTGCATCAGGGTGATGGACAGACCAACTAGGCTTGCTGCTAGACCAACAGCTGCTCCACAGCACTGACTCCTGCCCCTACACACTGGAAGGTTTGCTTGACCAAGGTGCAGGAGCGCCAGCGCATCTCATGCAGCGACATGCGGGTGAGGACCCAAAGCCAGCCCCCTCCGCGGGCCAGCTGGCAGCACCTCCCTCCCACAGAGCCTCCCGCTGCGTGGGTGCAAGGAGAAACCAAGGAACGTGACAACCAGAGGTGCCTTACCTCAGCCACTGTCAGGATGAAGTACATAGATGGGTGCTGCGGATCGATCCCCTCCAGCTTCATCCCCACTTTAAAGCCGTTCTTGTGCTGGGAAGCTACTTGGTACTGGAAACAAAAATTAAACTACAATGTAAAAATTGACACAGGTAGTTGGGTCTAGATCCATCCCAAGGAGCAACCATCAGGCAATGGGAGCTGCTGGGACCAGGAAATTGTGGGCCACAGGTTATGTTGTCCAAATTTTAGTTCTTTTTCCGTAGAAAAAAAACATTCTTCCACCTCCTTGTGAGTTTGCATCTCTTGCAGGGCAACCAGTGTCCCTGGGCTAACAGCTGCAGCCTGGGAGAGTGGGGCACGGGCCTGGCTCCTCTTGCACCCTGGCAATCAGGAGCAGGGGTGCAGTGCAGCAACGTGGCCTCAGGAGAACCCACGCCTGGCTTGGAGGAAGGGCTGGAAAGGCTCCACCACCCTGCCAGAGCCACAGGGGTGTCCTGGGCAAAAGTAGGGTGCTTGGGATGGGGGACAACACCGTGCTGGGCAGAGGGACTCGGGGCAAATTAAAACTGGAGGCTGACTGGTCACCCCCAGGTGAAGATGGGAGCTTGCTTATCGCTCAGAGTCCCGCAAAATAGGGAAGCAAGGAAAAGAGAATGAGGAGGGGTGGGAAAAAAAAGGGAAAGAAAAGAGAAGATGAAAGAGGGGAAAAAAGACAGGAAAATCCCAACTCACATCCTGGAAGAGATCTAAAGGGGCAGCGACAGCTTTCTGCTCCTCCAAGTAGGACGCCCAAGACCAGCCTTCTTTCTTCTCCTCGCTGGCACCTGAGCGCAGCACAAACGCACACACAAGAGGCGCAGCTGAGGGTCCGCTCCGGCCTCCGTCCCTGCCTGCCTGGGGGCAGCGCGCAGGGCAGGCGAGCGCACGGTCCCGCTGGGGCCACATCCCGCTCTCAGCACAGTCCTGCATCCCTGCAAAGCTCAGCACCATCCTACCAGAGCCCCTTCTCCAGCAAACCTGGCTGGCTGTCCGAGGAGGGACAGAGCCAAGAGGGCCCCTCTCACACAGGTCCCCGTGACCCAAATGTCCTCTGTCGCTGTACAATGCTCTCGTAAGGCACCTGAGGAGCCTGCAGGACAAGCCACCCTGTGCAAAGCATCAGGAAACCTCTGCAACCAGTCCTCCTCCAGCCAGTACATCCAAAATGGCCACAGCACTAATGGGTTTGGGACAGCCAGCAACTCCCAGCTGCAAGGGGCTCCCGGTCAGTCAAACCAGCAGCAGGCTCACCTCCCACCACCACTCCAGAGGCACCAGCTCCGCTATCCTCTGCTCTGAGACAACCACCTGAGCCCGCCTTGGCACACCAGGGTCCCTCTGATGCCCTAGCGTTGCATTTACCCTGATGGTATTCACAAAAAGCCGACAGCATCGTCTCTTCATAGGCAGGGACATGATCCTTCACGCCGTCGAACCCTTTGGGAAGGCCACAAAGGCCTTGCCCGAGGCACCTGAGACACAACCCAAGTCTCTTGCTCTCCAGCCACTTTCTCTCCCTGCTTTGTGGTGCCAGAAGGGACTTCAGGAGTGCTGTGCCTGTTTACTTTGTGGCGCCAGAAGGGACTTCGGGAGTGCTGTGCCTGTTTAATAGTGGTTAGTTAACTCGGTGTAACACGAGGGTTAATGACATCTGGCCCCTGCTACTGTCTCTGCATTTGGCTGTGGATGGAGTATGAAGTTGGAACAGTTTCATTTTAAAATTACTTTGAGTATGACCTTTCACTATTCAAAGATAAAAGGTTTCCCATAAATGTTTATTTCCAGTATTTTCCCAAGTTTTCCTTCCCCCTCACCCCCACTGCACTGCAGGGAAAAAAACAAACAAGCAAACACTGCATCCCTCAGCTCATCTCCTTTCCCTCTGTCTCGACAGCTCTGCATTTGAGATCTCCTCTGATCCAGTCTAGGAACAGATCTGCACGAGATGGGACAACCCCAGATCACCCAGCTTCAGCAGCACCAGACCTCCAGGAGCAGCTCCCAAACTCATCAGCTCCTGACTACGGGAGGGAAGTTCCCTGTAAGACCATCCAAAGTGGGGGCAAAGCCAGACGTGGCGCGGAGTCACGTTATTGCTCAGGATAGTGCCTCTTGGAGAAAACACCATATCCATGAGCAAGTCATAGATTCAGCTCTCAAGGGGAGGGACCAGGAAGCACCGTACAGTACGGCCCAATACCTGAAGAAGACACAGCCATGTCTGTAAGGATGCACC